GCAGGCCGACGCTCTATCCACTGAGCCAAACCGGTCCCGGCTGAATACAGGACTTTTGAAACAACCATACAGAAGCTGAAATTGGATGCACTCAGTCCCATCCTCTGTTTAAGTCTCCTCCCCTTTCACATGTCTGAGCTCATTCACTGAGCTCCCACCCCCTCACTCAGCCATTTCCTCTCTCTGAACCCATCTCCTGTCCTTCTGTCCGGTCCCCAGAGGCCTGGGTGGTGGGACTCCAGCCGGCAGGCAGCAGTGGGGCCTTCCTTCTGTTCCTTGGAGACTCCCCAGCTGTGGCCACCCCACCTCCACCCTCTCCCTCGGCCCACGTGGGGCCCAGCTTGGGGGCAGCACCGGCTCAGCCAGTCTGGCCAGCTGGGCAGCCGGGCCTCCTGTGTAATCAGGTCTGCCATTACCCAGTCTGGGGCCAAGTGAGAGGAAGGCCACAGGCCTGGCTGCTGGCTGAGGCCCCGGGGCTACTTGCTGAGCCTCAGACCCTGGACCTCCACTTCTGAGCCCAGGGCTTCCTAGAGCCTCTTCTGTGCCTGCTGGGCCCCTTGTCAAGGCGGCCAGAGGAAGCTCAGTCTGAGCGGAGCTTCCCGGAACCAGGGAGGGAGGCGTCATCCTCCTTCCCCCGATGGGGACATTGCTGAGAGAGTTTAACTCTATTGCCCAATGTCACATACTTGGAAGTGGCAGAGCTGGGACTCAGTCCAGGGAGGACTGGGGTTACTTCAGATGAGAGCCTCAAAGGAGCCACCACCACAGCCTCCCGCAGATTCTGAAAGTCCCAGCCGGGCCCAGCCCTTCCTATGGCTCCCAGAGCCAGGCAGGAGGTGGCCGGTCCGTACCGGCCGGGTCTGAAACTCGGAAGCTGTCTGCCTGTTTGCTGTGAGATTCCAGGAGATCCTCCTTCGGAACAAGTCCGGGAGATGGCTCTGACGTGACCCGGAGGCACATTCTTTACGCTCACAGGCGGTTATGACAACCCCTTGCAAATGATTTACTGAAATTAATTTTTTTTTAAGACATCTTGGCATGGTCATCGGTGAAAAAAAGAACAGGATTTTAACTTATGTCTGTGGTCTGAGATGTCAGTGAACTTCTGCAAAAAAAAAATAAATCGTTTTGGGCCAACTTCTAGCTAGACTAATCTTTCAGCTGAGCGTGAGACTGCTTCCTCCTTCGTGGCCCCCCTTTCCCCCCCGCCCCAATTTTATAAAGATATCACCCTGGTTGGTAGCTCAGTTGGTTAGAGCATTATTCCTATAGGTTTCGAGTTCAATCCCTGGTCAGGGCACATACAAGAATCAACAAATGAATGCATAAATGAGTGGAACAAGAAATCAGTGTTTCTCTGCCTCTCCCTTCCGCTCTCTCTAAAAAATCAATACAATTTAAAAAAGATGTTTATTATATCCTTAAATATATCTGTAATATTTATTTCCTTCTGATATTATAAGGATCAAAACATTCTATCTGGTGGGGAGGAATACCTGTAAGTTGGCACTGGCTCCCCTGGCCCTAGCCTTCCATTCCCAGAACATAAAGAATAAAGTCCCGGAGACCTGGATCTACTCGGTCACTCCCTTACCTCTCAGAGGGGTCCGTCCTGGGCCCCAGACAGGAGACTTCCTCCCCCCCTGCCCCCTGCTCCCCCTACCTCACTCCAGGTTCTGAGGTTCCTCTGGCTACCCTGGGGTGGTCTGGCAGGCTCAGGGCTGGATGGGGGATTTATTTGCACCTTTCCTAGGGACACCCAAGGAGCTGAGTGCAGGGCACGGAGGGGTGTGCTGTGCTGTGATCAGGATTTGGCTGAGCCCCAGGGGCCCGGGGGAGGGGTCTGAGAAGTCCTCTCACCTGGAGTGAGCAGGACCAGAGCCGAGGGGTGGCTGCCTTGTGACTCAAACTGGGCTCCTTCCTCCTCATGACACTAAAACACTTTCAGCTCACAGAGCATTTTCACATCCTCCTCTCATTCCTCATCCGCCTTAGACAGGGAGGGCTGGTCATGTCCTTATTTCACACAGGGAAGGGAGGCTCAGACAGGGCACTGCTTCTCCGAGATCACAGGGCTGATGAGATGGCCATGGGGCGGGCAGGGATGGTGCCCTGGTCTGTGGGAGAGAGAGCTGTCCTGGATAAAACACAGCATGCACGATACAGTTCTATTGGCAACATAAGTGTTATGTTGGCAGAAAAAAAAATAAAAGAAATATGTGCTCTGCCTCAGAGCAAAGGTGATGGATGGCAGGCAGACACATTATAAAGTAAAAGGTTGTCTGCGCTGTGGGGAGGCCAGGCTCGGGGAGCCAGAATGAGGGTAGGAAAAACGTCTTGGCTTGGCTGGTATTTTTCCTGCAGTGGGCGGGACCCAGCGAGTGTGGCTCCTGTAATAAATCAAGCATCAACAATTGTCTCTCCAGCTCCGCTCATGTGCAGAGCTGCTCACGGCTCCCCGGACTCCCTCCCGCACCTCCTTTCCACCTGAGCTCCCCACAGACTTCCCCCGGCCTGGGCCTGCCCTTTGCCTTACTCCTTCCGCACCTGCCCTCCCCCGGCCTCCGTCCCTCCCCCACACCTGCTGTGCTGGCCGGGCCGAGCAGGGAAGGCAGCTTCTTAGTCGCCTGCTGGGCCACAGGTGAAAAGGTACAGGGCCTGCATGCTCCCCCTCCCCCACTCAGCTGGCCGTGTCCCAAGAGAACAACGGCAGGAAGTGGGGGATGGGGGAGGATGTTCTAGCCATCTGGCCTTCTGCAATCGGAAAGCTGGCTGAAGGGCTGGGACAACAGATAAGGAACACCTGGGTAAGGTGCCCACCACATCCTGGGCGAGCCCTGCCCGTCCCGGTTCACCCATCGGTGCAAAGGCAGTAAGATTCCCTTCCCTGATCCCCCCCTTACAGGGAGGCTGTGATGAGGTCATTGCAGGAAATTACTTATTGTCCATCTTGAAGGGCAGTTAGTTATCTCTGCTCTTCAGCTCACATGTGTACTGTTCCTCAGAGCCTTGTACGGTAAACCCTGGGAGGCGTGGTCCAGGTAGAAACCATCCGTTTGTGTGTGTGTGTGTGTGTGTGTGTGTGTGTGTGTGTGTAGGCAGGGGGAAGTGTGGGGAGTGGGGAAAGGCGCTGGGACTATGGAGACTGACTTCTGCATTATTGACCACCTGGAGCATTAACTGAGCACCTACTGTGAGCCAACGCCCGTGGGAGCTCTGAGGTGGAATAAGTTACTGCTTTTGTCCTCCAGGAGCCCCCAGCCTCTTCGGGAGACACAGTAGGAGACCTCAACCCCCTCATTATGCTAACTGTCCCAGCCAGCCTCGTGCTTCATCCGGTGTCTCAAGGGCCTCCTGTGTGCGGAGGGCTCACAGGTGGCTTCAACCCACTCACCCATGCTTACTGGTTCTCTGGCAGGAAGCTCAAGGCCCTCACGTCTCACCAGGATCAGTCACCCCAGCATGCCATGCAAGATGCTGGACACGCTGGGCGCTCAGGGACGTAGTGGAGCCCTGGCCCCCGAGGCGTCCTTCCTCACACCCCCTCAGCAAGCCGGAGAAGAGAAACACGCCGTGCCATGTCGATCAGGGGTTCCCTTGACTTCAGCCCTACACCCCTACCTGCCTCGAACCAGGTCCTTCCTGATCCAGGCTCCCCTGCCCTGCGGTACCCCCCCCCCCCACCTTCCCAGAGACACCTTTCAAAAGGTGTGTGGAATCCTCCAGCGGGCGCCCTGGGCCTCTGTGTCCAGCCCCGGGGCTGAGAAAGCAGAGGTTTCTGGCCCTCTTACTCGTGCCCCTCCCCCACAGCCTCAGCCTCCGTCAGACTGGATTCCTCCTGCCCGAACATTTTCCTATCTTGGGGTACCTTTGCTCTCGATGCTCTCTCTTCCCGGACGTCCTCCTCCACCCAGTCCTGCCGCCCTGCACAACTCCGGGGGGACACATTCGACACGCTTTCTGCCATCAGAGCCCTCCGCGGCAGACCCCAAGAACTCAGCGCCCCTCCCCTGTGAGGCCTCCTCCTCAGGACCCCGCCTCCACCCTGGTCCGAGTTTTCTCCCCTTCGAAGCCTCCCGGGACTTTGCTCCCATCCGGACAGCTCTGTGTCTTCACAGAGTAAACACTCATTTGTGAGCCTGATGTCCTGGGGTCTGGCCCATGGCTTGCTCTGGGTGACGACTTCTACCCAGTTCTGGCCAAGTAGGGTCAGCCTGGCAGGAACGAAGCCCATTGGCTGAAATTTCCACTTGTGTGTGTGTGTGGGCTTCCTTCTCTCTTTGGCCAAAATGGCATCATTTCCAAACCCCCAAACCTGGCAGGGCTGGGAAGCCAGTGGTAACGGTGTGAGAGGGGGAGGGTGGGTGATGGACCCGGGGTTCCTGGCCCCCCCAGCTCCTCATTCCCCAAGCTGACCTCATTAGGTGAATGTGGAGACTATGCATGGTCAATGAGTTGTGATCAGGCCATCAATGCAGGTGATAAGGACTCAACAACAGCAATCAAAGGGCGGGGGCGGGGGGGGGGGGTGCTCAGCTCTGACTTTCCTAGGACTTCATTCTCACCTTCATCCTTCTTGAGGGTCACCACCCCAGTCCCACCAACCAACCAACCGAGCCTGGCATGAGGGAGCCCCGGGGTGTGGGAACCCTGGTCTTCAGGTCCCAAACCTTGCCCCCCTGTTGGGGCAATTCCAGGTGCCGGGGAGTTATGACTCAGTGCCTGACCTCAGCCTGGGGGAGAGGGCAGTTTCCTATGAGATTGTGACTCAGGGGCCCAGGGCTGGGGAGGCAAAGTGCCTTTGTTGGCCTGGGCTCAGGAATCCAGAGAAACTGGTCAGGGAAAGGCCCTGGGGACTGAAACCCCTCCCTCTCTCCCCGCCCCTCCACGGAGCAATATAACCGCCCCAAGCTTCCGCACGAGTGAGAGTAGCAGCTGTGGGCTGGGAGGAACTGGTCCGTCTGGTCACACTCCCTGAGCTGGCGTCTGGCTGTTGGGGGAGTCATACCTAGCTGCTCCGGCTGCCATCGCCTGGGACTCTCCCTGCAGACACTGCACGTCCGTCCTCAGCACTTGGATTTCTACGGCGCCCAGGGCCAGATTTCCAAAGACTTCCAGGTCCCAGACCCCGGCAGACGCGGAACGATGGCCTCCATGGGGCTGCAGGTGATGGGCATCGCGCTGGCCGTGCTGGGCTGGCTGGGCGCCATCCTGAGCTGCGCGCTGCCCATGTGGCGGGTCACGGCCTTCATCGGCAGCAACATCGTCACGTCGCAGACCATCTGGGAGGGCCTGTGGATGAACTGCGTGGTGCAGAGCACCGGCCAGATGCAGTGCAAGGTGTACGACTCCATGCTGGCGCTGCCGCAGGACCTGCAGGCGGCCCGCGCCCTCATCGTCATCTGCGTCGTGGTGGCTGTGATCGGCGTGCTGCTGTCCGTGATGGGCGGCAAGTGCACCAACTGCGTGGAGGACGAGAGCGCCAAGGCCAAGATCATGATCGTGGCGGGCGTGGTGTTCATCCTGGCGGGCCTGCTGGTGATGGTGCCCGTGTCCTGGACGGCCAACACCATCATCCGGGACTTCTACAACCCGCTGGTGGCCGCCGGCCAGAAGCGGGAGATCGGGGCCTCGCTCTACGTGGGCTGGGCGGCCGCCGGCCTGATGATGCTGGGGGGAGGCCTGCTCTGCTGCAACTGCCCGCCCCGCGCCGACAAACCCTACTCCGCCAAGTACTCCGCTGCCCGCTCCGCCCCCGCCAGCAACTACGTGTAAGGTGCCGCGGCTCAACGCTGTTGACTTTGTTTCTCCCTGGACTGAGCTCAGCGCAGCTTGTAAGCCCCAGGATGGCCCTGCCGTGGCCCGCCGCAGGCTGCTGGGGGGGGGTGGGCCAGCAGGGACTGAGACAGGACACTGGCCCGCAGCCCTCAGCCCCTTCTGGCCCTCTGGGATACCTTCCCAAGGCCTCCTCTACACCAGGATGGACTGAAAGACTTCCTAGCCACCTTCCTCTGCAAGGATATGGACGCTCCTAGCCACCTTCCTCTGAATGGATGTGGACACGGGGGCCGGGGGGTTTTCAGCCAACGGGCATGGCAGTGGAGCGGGGAGCTGACTCTTGCTGGCCAGGACGGCTCAGCCTGACTCTACTTGGGATCTCTGACCGGGTGCCCTGCCAGCGCCTGTGTTGTTGGCCTCTGTTCTTTGATCATCCCCACTCCCTCCAAGTGCCTTCTGTGGAAACCTTGTGGCTATGAGAATGGCTGGGGCCTCACCCACCCGCCTGCCTGTGGAGCAGAGTTGACGGACGGGTTTAGAAGGGAGGGGTGACGGTGCTACAAACTGGTTTGGGGAGTGGTGGGGGAGGGGGCTGCAGAGCCTCAGCGGCGTCAGCAGGAGAACCCCGGGCCCCTTGAAACCGGCCACTGCGAAGGTCACTGGCCGGCCTGGGGAAGGCAGAGGAACAGCCTTACGCTGGCCTTCACCCTGGAGCTTTTTCCTGTCTCCTCTGTGGCGTGTTTTGTAATATAAGCTCTATTTGTCACGGTAATTACTATTATTTTCTACAATAAATGAGACCTGTGCACAGGAAGACTCTGTATGTTTCTGATTTCAGCTGTGGGTGGGCAGGGCAGCGGTGGAGGGGGGTCAGCGAGGGGTAGGACCAGTGTCTAGCCTGGTTGGGAACACTTAAAAAACTGGTTTTGTAAAAAACAAAACAAAAAACAAACTTGGAACTGGCCTGACCTTTGTAATCACCTTGTTCAAGCCCTTCAAATACCATCAGGTGAAGACCATATACAGGGAAGTGTGTGCCCCGAACCCTGGTGAGGTGCTGGGGACTTTAGGAGGGAGGGCTGATGGGACATCCAGGCCTAGTGAATGGGCCACCTGTTCTCTCCCTGTTTGTCCCAACTTTGTTCGGGCAGCCAGGCTGGTCTGCTCACTCTTCCTCCTGGCTTTGGCTTAGACTTTCCCTGCCCTGGGCCTGGAATGTCCTTCTTCCTTTCCCCATCCCTCTGAATCCTGCTCATCCTGAAGGCCCAGCTCGGAGCCTCCACCCCCTGAGGCCTTCCCACCTGCTCAGAGGAATTATTACCAGCCCTGTTCATGGGGCAACCTCCAAGCCTCACCCTGAGTTCCGATCTCTTTGGAGATAAAGAATCCGAGTCCCCGGACACGTGAATGCGTTTGGCTGAGGCCCAGAGGCAGGTGTGCAGGGTTCCTGTTTGGTGAGTTAAGAGGTGAGAGGGCCCATCAGCCTGGGAAGAGGCATAAAAGTCCCATCTCTGGCCCTGCCGGGTCTGGCTCCCAGACAACCCGGGCGGGAGCCTCTCTCCACTTCTGTCCTCCACGGGGACCATGTCACCCTTCCCCGGGGTGAGAGAACTCCAGAGTCAGAATCCCGCTGCCCCTCCCGGGACTCATTTAATAGGCAGAGCGTTCCTGAGCAGCAGGGCTGGTGCAGTGGCCCCGTTTTACAGACGAGGGACAGGAGCCCCGAGGACAGGCCTGGATGAAGTCCCCTGGAAGGTCAGAGGCCAGTGCGGGGCTGAGCACTGGGCCTCCCTCCCTCCGCTGGGGCCGCCTGCTGCTTTCGGTAGAGGTAGACGATGCCAGAGATGAAGCCGTCACCGTCCGGAGTGCCAGGCACCGCCTCCAGCTTGGTGGTAGCCAGCTCCCACCGGTCCACAGGCCGGGCCTCCAGGCGCTCCCACTCCCCGGCCTGCTCCAGCTTGTCCAGGGTGGCCTCCAGGGCCTCCTTGTACTGAAGGTTGGAGGGGTTGGTCCTGGTGGTCAGACACACCAGCCCACCTGGGGGGAGGGGGGGGGAAGGGAGGTGAGAGGCCGGAGCCAGAGTTCAGGTTAGCGGTCCCCTTTCCTTGTGGCTCCGGCCGCCAAGGGTGCCCTCGAGGACAGGCGTTCTCCCAGCGTGCCTCCAGGCCGGCCTTTTCCTGTCTCCACGCCTTCGGTGCTCACCGTTCCCACCTCCAGGAATCACCTCTGCTTCTCCAGTTGGAATGCCTCCCAGGTACCCTTTAGGGCCCGCGTATCCTTTATGCTGGGAATTCTTGTTTCTCTGGACAGAGGGAGCTCCATCCTCACCACCCACCCAGCGCCCCTGCTGGAGGATATGGCTGTGTCTGGAGGCACCTGGCCTTGGACAGGTCCCTCCACCTACCTGAGTCTCAGTTTCTCACTTGCCGAGTGGGGTTCATGTACCCCGTGCCAGAAAGGCCAGTGCAGTCAGTAACCATGGCTGCATGAATGAATGAATGAATGATTTCACCCCTTCACCCCTTCACCCCTTCTGGGGGCACCCACAGCATGCCCAGTGCAGGCTTGGAGACACTTAAGATACTGGTGTCCGAAAGGTTTCCTGGAGGAAGGGGCGAGGAGAAGCAGCCTTGCTGGGGGAGGGGGGCTGAGAGGAAAGGCTCTGAAGGGCAGCCTGTGGCATGTGGGCAGGCAGACAGGGCTCGGCCAGCTGAGGGGGCTGGTAAGCACAGGCTGGGCTATGAGGCCTGGTCTTTACCGGTTCAGGCATGGGAGTTTCCTGTCCTGAGCCCAATCACCACCTCCTTCTCTGACCCCACACCGATGTCCCTACATCCGTCAGCCTCCGTGGTTCCGAGGCCTGCCCAGACCTGCCCAGGCTTAGCCACGCCCGTGCTGTGCCCCTGCAGGGAGATGCAATCTTGCTGTGACAGGGGCACCGTTGGGGCATCCTGGTCCTGTCCTGCAGCCGCGTCAGGGCCTCATGACCCTCAGAAACCCCTCTGTCTGTAACTTCACTTAGGCTGTGTCCCCGTGTGGACTGCCCCTACTCCCCATCCCAGCCCTGGTCCTGCTCCCCCGGGCCCTGCCGAAGATGCAGCCCAAGTGTTTGGGAAGCAGGCACGTGGTGGGTTGGTGATGGAGCCCAGAGGGCAGGGTGTATACTTTCTCCTCAGAGCAGAGGCAGTCCCAGGGCAAGGCACATAGGTGCAATGCATTAGCCCCATTTCACAGAGGAGGAAACTGAAGCCAGGAAAGTACGATTCATCCAACAGTCATCCGTGAATTAGTGAGGAAGCTGGATGAGGGAACTGAATTGAGACTTCAAGCCAAGGCTAAAGCAACGGCCTTAATATATAATTTCACCCAATTATCACGGTAATCCTGTTCGGAAGGGACTATGCCTACAGAGAGGAGGGTGGACTTACTCCTGGTTGCCTAAATGCATAAGAGGCAAGGAGGGCCGAAACCGGTTTGGCTCAGTGGATAGAGCGTCAGCCTGCGGAATGAAAGGTCCTGGGTTCGATTCCGGTCAAGGGCATGTACCTTGGTTTCGGGCACATCCCCAGTAGGGGTTGTGCAAGAGGCAGCTGATTGATGATTCTCTCTCATTGATGTTTCTGACTTTCTATCCCTCTCTGTAAAAAATCAATAAATATAAAAAAAAAAAAAAAAAAAAAAAAAAAAAGAGTCAAGGAGGCCACTTGCCTGCCCTGCCTGTTTGCCGGGGTCAGCATTCAGCAGCTGGTGGCTGGGATGGGATGTGACCCTAGGCCAGACCATGCCACTTGGTTGGCCTCAGGAATTCTGAGGCTCCAGTCTTTGGGTGTGGAGAGGGGGAGGCGGGTGGGGGTTCGTCGGGCTGCTTCTCACCTGGCTTGGTGACTCGCAGGAGCTCAGGTATCGCACTGCAGGGCACCTGGCCGTCACTGAGGGCGCCCACCATCAGCACCGCGTCATAGGTCCCTGGTGACGTGTGCAGAGGCGGTGTGGCGGTTTGTCTGTGGTGTGGCCTCAGACTACCATGGAGGATGGCATCCATGGTGGGTTTGGGGAGGGACCAGGCCAACCCCTAGTGTCTGCAGGACCCAGATCCCGTGGGGGATATGGCAGGTTAGCCCAATTCTGGTCCGAGGTCAGCTCGTGGGACGGAGAGCTCGGAGAGGGGCTCACGGGACCTCAGAGAGGGTCTTAGTGAGGCACTGAGGGGCTCCGAGGGAAATGAAGGCTCAGCAAGGGGGATGGAAAGGGGCACTGTCCAGGGGGCCTCGGGGTGTTAGGGCACAAGAGGAAGTACCTTCAGGGCTGGGCAGAGGCTCCTGGCCCAGGGTGCAGAGGCTGAGGTGCTGGTAGAGGCCGCGGGCCCGGGCGTGTTCCAGCATCCCTGAGCTCCCGTCCGCTCCATGCAGCCGGAGGAAGCCTCGAGCCTGCAGCTGGGGCGGGAGGGCTGTCACAGGTCACACCTGCCACCTCCCACAGGGGTCCCTGCACCTTCAGGAGAGCAGTGGGCTCTGCAGTGGGTGTAGCCCAAGTGTTTGGGAACCAGTGAGTGTGGGGCCAGGGTGGCAAGAAATGTGGGCAAGTAGGGGGCTTAAAAGAGGGCAGGGAGCTGGGCAGGCCTCACCTCGGCAGCCACCAGGCCGGTGCCACAGGCCACATCCAGGATCAGGGCGGCTTCGGGTGGGCCTGGAAGGGCTTGGGTGAGGCAGTCCACTGCGAGGCTGGGGGCACGGTACTGCAGGGCAGCCACGTCCTGGGGACAGAGTGCTTGTGCTTAGCTGACGACCACCCTATGTCCTAGTGTTTGAGGGGCCTCAGTGTGGGGTGGTCTAGGAGTCAGCCAGGCTAAGCTGTGTGTGTGTGTGTGTGTGTGTGTGTGTGTGTGGTCGCTGAGCCACTAAGCCTGCAGTGAGAGGAGACAGACATGAGGTGCTATCCTCTCAGCCCACTGCTGAGACCTGCTGAGACCAAGGCAGGGCTCCGTGCTTAGTCCACAGTGGCCCTTCACCGGCACCTCCTTAGGCAGGCTTTCCTTCTGCCTGGGCTGCAGTCCCAAAGTGGGGAGGGAAGTTTCGGACCCTGATCTCTAGGGGCTGCTGTTGTAGAGTGATGGGGCTGGTCGGAGGACAGGGCTGAGGTGGGTGGGCAGAAGAGGGGGCAGTTCCAGAGGGAACCTGACTGCAAGGTTGTGCCCAGGTCTCACTTCATTCTCACAAGCTGCCCTGGGGTGCCAGGCTACCTATTCCCGGTGTACAGATAGGTAAACTGAGGCTGGGCGAGCAAGGGAGGCGGAGGACCCCCGGCGGGTGTACCTGATCATAGTCCGGAGCCCAGCGGTCATAAAAGTGCAGCTTCTGGGCCAGGTCAGTGATGCCATGCGAGGCCCCGACCCGCGCCCGCACCCTGGGCAGGCTCCCGCCCTCCTCCTGAGCCATCCTCCTGCGGGAAAAGGCCTCCGTGTCCTGAGGTCCAGCTCATCCTCCACCCCCCTTCCCCACCCCGCCCCCCACCTCTCCATCCGCCGCGCACAGCACAGGCTCTCCAGGCACCGCACATGCCCATTGCACAGGCGGGGACACTGGGCAGCGGACGGACACCTGCGGTGCGGGGCTGGAGAAGGGGTTCCAGCAGGGGGAGGGAGGGCCGGCTCGGACCCCGCAGCCGGGAGTGGGTTTCCAGGGCCGAAAGGTCGCTCCGGCTGTGGGGACAGTGAAGGGGAAGCGGTGTGTGTGTGTGGGGGGGGGGCGGTCAGAACTCACCTCCTCGGACCGCGGGCGGGGGTGGTGGGGGAGCTGGGACTCCCCGCGGGTCAGCGTGGCTGGCCTGGCCCGCCCCCGCCGCCCGCGATTGGCTGTCTTCTAAGAAAAACTACCCAATCAAAAGAGTCACTGGCAGCCCGCCCCTCCACCATCAGCCAATGGGCTCAAAGGCTTGGCCCTCCTCCCTCCCAGGGAGACTGGTTTGCATATTTTCTTGGTGGCTGAGTAGGTGGGCTCCTGAGCCCCACGTCCTGCATGCTTTCTAAAAAGCCACGAGCTTTTAGGCAGTGGGAGCCCCTGAGTTCTCAGGGACGAGAGAGGGAGTGAACAACAAGCAAAACTGGAGCCAGAGCCCTGGCTGGTTTGGCTCAGTGGATAGAGCGTCGGTCTGCGGACTTAAAGGTCCCAGGATTGATTCCGGTCAAGGGCATGTACCTTGGTTGTGGGCGCATCCCCAGTGGAGGGTGCGCAGGAGGCAGCTGATCGATGTTTCTCTCTCTCATCGATGTTTCTGTCTCCATCTCCCTTCCTCTCTGTAAAAAAAAAAAAAAAAAAAAAAAAAAAAAAAAAAAAAAAAATCAATGCAATATATTAAAACAAAAATAAAAATGGAGCCGGACCTTTTCCCCCAGAGTGACTATTATCACTGATCACATCCCCTGCCATATCACTGATTATGTGGTTTAGACTCCCTGACCTTTCATATCTCTGGGCTGGTCATGTGGTTTAAACACATCATCTTTCCTGCCTAGAGATAACATCTAGGTTTCGGTTGTATTTCAGCTCCAGGCCCAGAAAAGTAACAAAACAGGCGGCCATGCCAGGGCTAATGACCCCTTGTGCTGACCCACCAGTGGGAGACCAAGGCCTTGAAGGGGCACCCTTGGAAATGCTGATGAATATTCTATTGAGATCCTCCCCTAAAACCTCCCCCAAATCTCTCAGCCTTTAAAACCCTCAAGGTGAAGGTCCCAGAGCAAACTCTCCTGGGAGCCCACCCACGCCTTCCCCTTTCCTCACAGGCATTCATCTCCTAAACTCTAAGGAACCCCATGAAACTTGCAGCCAGGGGAGCAGTGGGCGGCAGCAGCTCCTCTCGGGGTAAACCCTTGACCCTGTCCCCAAAGCCCCCTTTTCTCTGACTCTCCAGTGAGCTAAAGCAGCCTTGGCTCAGTTCTTTCCCATAACATTTCTGAGAGCCAGAGCAGCCCTGTTTAGTCTCTCTCCTGTAGCTCCTTCTATTCCAAGCCTTTCCTTGGGTCACTGTCCCCAGCTTTAATAAACATACTCAACACCACCGGACTTGTGTTATGAAATCTTCCCTGTGTGAAGTTAAGAACCCACACACTACAGGCTGGCTCAAGGCAGACCTGCTCCAGACCTGGTCCGTTGCCGGTAACAAAACCTTGTTATGACATCATTACAATACCCAGCTCAGGTGAGCTTGAAAAAAATAAACAGAAAACAAACCTCTTTCCTTTCGTGCAGTTCATCCAAGTGCCCTTCTGGTTGATGGATGGGATGCTGCTCCATTCATGAACCACTTAATAAAGCCGATTAATTAGATCTTCAATTTACTTGGTTTAATTATGTTCTTTAACAGGGGTGGAAGTAGTCCATTTCTAGACCTGGACAATAAAAAAACCCCAACTACTAATATGATTCTCTATGAAGTGGACCCAAGCACCCAGAAGACAGTAGGGTTATAAGATGAAGGAGTCTGTGACCCTAAATGATTGTGTGGAGCAGTGCCCTCTCCATCAATCTGCCTTGGACTGTAATATCATGAAAAATAATATAAGCTGAGCTACTTTTTGAAGTTGGAGCTGCCATCCCAGAGTAACTGCCTTGAAGGTCTTACTACTCAAACCTTTGTCATATTAAAAGTAGGCAAAATAACCTTTGCACTGGGCCTAAAGCAGCATTGCATTCCAAACAACTGTTTGTAAAGCTAATAAAATAAAATAAAAAGAAAGAAAGAAAAAGAAAAAGCAGATATTATGACTACTGGACTGAAAATTAAAGACATTCTTTAGAATTAGCATCGCCATGTTAGCTTATTTGCACCTATAGAAACTCTTTCCTTTGGTTTATGCAATTATTCCCCTTCCCTTTCTCATAAATACCCCTTGCTTTCACCTCGGAATTAGATACTATATGAATTTCTGCCTAAATCAGTTTACAATAGCTCTGTGTGTGTGTGTGGAGGGGGAAGGGTTCTATGGAATGTAACATCACTGGGTGTTATGAACATAAATTCCTAACTGTGCAGGTCATGGTGCATAGTCACTTCCCAGGAATAACTTCCTTAGTAAAAGGCTTATCTTTGCTTTAAGCAAGCCCTGTCCATTGTCTCTGAGTATGTAAGCAGGTTGACATGCGTTTAAAATGCCCTGTTTCAGAGGCTCTTAATATGTAGCCACCCGTTCACGTCAGGGCCCTCCTTCTAAAGGGGACCTCCTCAAGCAAACACATAATCTCATGAACCTGTAATCCCATCCCCATCTTGCTTTTTCCTACCCTCCTGTAATCCTCCTTATGTTCCATCCTTCATAACAAATGCATATAAGAAACTGCATGCTGCCATTTTGGGAGGCATTTGAGATCTTGCTTTCTGGCCTATGCTGTCAATTTTGCTCAAATAAGTCCTTATAAAAATTCTCTTTTATAAGAGAATGTTTGGACATTTTTAGGTTGCCAGCTTCTTGCATAGCTATCTTTTGGATGTCAAATAATTGCTTGTTGCCTCTCCCTGGTTGCCTAAACTTTATTTTTAGGTTAACAACATGAACAAGAAATAAACTTTTGCCAAAACCGGTTTGGCTCAGTGGATAGAGTGTCAGCCTGTGGACTGAAGGGTCCTGGGTTCGATTCCAGTCAAGGGCATGTACCTTGGTTGAGGGCCCATTCCCAGTAGGGGGTGTGCAAGAGGAAGTTGATTGATGATTCTCTCTTATCCATGTTTCTAACTCTCTATCCCTCTCTCTTCCTCTCTGTAGAAAATCAATAAAATATATTTAAAAAAAAGAAAGAAACTTTTATTGTGCTAAGTTACTGAGATTTAAGGATCTGTCTATTACAATAGCTGTTGCCATTTCCTTTCGTTCATGTAGTGACTTTGGTAAGAGCAGTTTTGGGGGAGTGGATCTAAATAAAAAAATCTGTCTTAGTCCAAAGGCATATGCTGCATATGTGTGAATCTTCTGTGCTCAGCTGCAAATGAAAGGACACCCGCATGGCAGCGACTTAGAGATTTACTGCTCTGAAAAATGGAGCTGAGACTGGACAGCAGGGTGTGGGGTTCAGTGAGGCCCTCAGGGACCCAGGTTTCCCTGCCATCTTTTGCATGGAGGCCTTTGTCCTCAACCGCTGTCACCTTGTCTTGGCTGGTACACCTCCAGACAGGACTAAGGGGAAAGGACAAAAAGCTAGGCCAGCTGAGTGTATTCGTCATCACAAAAGCTTATTGGAAACCCCACCCAATGACTTCTGTTTTATCCTATTGGCCAAAATGGGTCACATGGCCACGTCTGAGTCCTCTCTGAAAGGTGAGTGGGAGGCTGGGATGGAGGCTGGCTCAGCCAGCTGACTGTTTGGGTCCCAGCTCTGCAGCCTCCACAGTTCATTTAGGCCAATAAATATTTATTGTGCATCTCCTGTGTTATAAGCTCTGGGTTGGGCATTGGAGTCACAGAGATGAGTCAGATACTGCCTGACTCTAACCCAGGGGAGGAGTGTTCTTCTGTGAAGGCTCTGTTCACTATTTCATCGTATCCACGTGTAGGCTTTCTTTCTGAGCCAACACCCCTGACCAGGTGTCCAGAACCACTCCTTTGTTTGGGGTGATGGTGGGGTGGAGTCTGTGGGTGCTATGGAGACGTGGTAGTGAGGAGTGTAAGGTGGACGGGCCCCAGGAAAGGCAGTCCTGTTGCACCTTCAGAGGGTGGGGGTCCTGGGGACGCCTGCCTGTCTGCCCTCCGAGTCCCTCAGTGGTGTCCCGCTCACGGACGGGGGCTGCACAGTTTGTGGGCACCGGCACGGCTCCTACAAAGATGGCTCCCGGGCCCTGGTGGCGGATGAGACTTGCCATGAGGGGCACCAGTGAGGGCTGGTGGTCTCTGGATGTTGCTCTCCTCCTTCTGTGGGCGGGCCCTGGTCCCCCTGGACTTCTCTATCCTCACAGCCCACTCCATGTATCTCCCTCCTGAGCTCGGGAACCTGCGCCCGCCTCGGGGCAGGAACATTTTCTCTGACTCACGGAGTGTTTTTGTTTCCTCTGATCCTCACTGGTTTCGAGTCCTGAGCTTTTGGAACCCAACAGCCTCTTCTGTCTTCTGTCATCTGCTGGATATGCTGCTCCCCTGAGGCAGCGGGTACACCTGGCCCAGCCACCACCTCCGTGGGGAGAAGGTTTGGGTAACAACATGGTTTGGGGGTGAGGAGAGGTGTGTAAAGGCAACAGTTCATGTTTCAAGACGACTGTCTCGTCTCACAGATGTACAAGCCAAAGGCCGATGGCCGTGGGTGGCAGAGGAGACGAAGAGGACGAGGGTCTGTCAGATCAAGACATGGTGATGCTGATGGGCATGAGTCCTGGGGACAGCACGGCTCCCAGGGGCCAGGCTGGGAGGGGCTTGTGTGTGAGGATGTGTGAGGATGTCAAAAACCCACCTTGAGGTCACTTAACTATTAGGGGTTTGCTACATTTTCTTACAAGAAATCCAGTGGTCAGCAGTACGTGGGCGGGCCCAGTGGCCCACTGATTTCACCACGGACCCAAGCTCCATTCTCTTCTCTGCCACGCTGGGTGAGCTCTGACGGCAGCTTCTGGTCCCTAGAGGGTGGCAGCAGCTCAGGCATTCGTGAGTCCTCACATGCAAAGCCCTGAGGCAGGCCTTGTCTCCCGGTCTCTCTGTCTCTGGGTGGTGG